GAAATGATTGTAAAGGTAAACAAACAACAATACATATGTAGCATGATAGTTCCATTGAGAGATTTGCACTTTTGTTTGTTTTTTGTTTTGTTTTTTGGGGGGTTTTTTGTTTGTTTGTTTGAAAAACTTTTATAAAAAATTGATATTGCTCTACACCTGAACCCTAATCAACATAACTGTAATAATGTTGATTTGGGTTGAGGTGTAGAGCAATATCATTTTTTTATACAAGTTTTTTGAGCATATTACTTTTGTGGTGTGCCCACTTGGTATAGGAAGCACAAATATAGGACCTGGTAAGATCTGTACTTTTTATTTTTCCTTTTTTTTGTTTGTTTGGTTTTTTGTTTTCTTTTTTTCTTTTTTAACCACTTGCCTACCGGGCACTTATACCCCCTTCTTTACCAGGCCAATTTTCAGCTTTCAGCACTGTCACACTTTGATTGACAATTGCGCGGTCATGCAAGATTGTACTCATATGAAATTTTTATCATTTTTTTCTCACAAATAGAGCTTTCTTTTGGTGGTATTTAATCACTGCTGGGCACTTTACTTTTTGTGCTTTAAACAAAAAAATTGCAAACAATTTGAAAAAAAAAAGTTTCTTTGTTTCTATTATAACATTTTTCAAACAGGTAATATTTCTCCTTCACTGATGTGTGTTGATGAGTCAGCACTGATCGGCACTAATAGGCAGCACTGATAGGCGGCACTGATTGGCAGCACTAATGAGGTGGCACAGATAGGCGGCACTAATGAGGTGTCACGGATAGGCAGCACTGATAGACAGCACTGATAGGTGGCACTGACTGGCATCACTGCTGGGCACTGACTGGCGGCACTGCTAGGCATTGACTGGCGCAACTGCTGGGCACTGACTGGCACAACCGCTGGGAACTGACTGGCGCAACTGCTGGGCACTGACTGGCACAACCGCTGGGAACTGACTGGTGGCACTGACTGGCAGCACTGCTAGGCTGCACTGATGGGCACTGGTGGGTGGCACTGGTGGGCACAGGTGGGTGGCACTGGTGGACACAGGTGGGTGGGCACAGGTTGGGCACTTCTGGCACAGGTGTTTGGCACTGGGGTGACACAGGTGGGTGCACTGCTGGACACAGGAGGGTGCACTGCTAGGCACAGGGGGCACACTGCTGGGCACAGGTGGGTGGCACTGCTGGGCACAGGTGGGCTGAACTGGTGGGTGGCACTGCTGGGCACCGATCATCAGGGTACTGATCATCAGGGCACTGCAATGTATGCCATTTTTTTGCTATACAGCGCTGCACTAGTTTAACAGACAATTGCGCGGTCATGCAATTTGTTACATAAATGAAATTTACCTCCTTTTTTTCCCACAAATTGAGCTTTCTTTCGGTGGTATTTTATCGCCTGTGCATTTTTTATTTTTTGCGCTATAAAAAAAAAGTCTGACAATTTTGAGGAAAAAAAAACTATATTTTGGACTTTTTGCTATAAAACATGTCCAGTAAAAAAAAATTAAAAATCAAATTTAGTCATAAATTTCTGCCAAAATGTATTCTGCGACATGTCTTTGCTAAAAAAAAAAACCCCAATACATGTAAATTAATTGGTTTACATGAAAGTTATAGCGTTTACAAATGGCGGGAAAGATACTGGGATTTTTAAATTTTTTTTTATACTAATAATGGCGGCAATCAGCGACTTATGGCGGCGATCAGTGACTTATGGCGGCGATCAGCGACTTATGGCGGGACTGCGGGACTATGGTGGACATTCTGACACTGGAGGGAACTGACTTGGGGTCACTGACATCCCCAGTGACACCAACACAGTGATCAGTGCAAAAAAAAACACTGACACTGTACTAATGGCACTAAGGAGGAAGGGGTTAACTTTATTATTCACTGAAAGGGTCAACTGGGTGAGGGGAGTGTTTTGCTAGGGGGCGGGGTGTGTATTGCACGGAGACACACTGATCCGGACAGATAAACTCTTCTGTCCCGATCAGCGTGTCAGGAGTAGAGATGAGCGAATCGAACTTGGCGAAGTGGAATTCGTTTCGAATATTAGGAAAAATTTGATTCGCGCCGAATCCGAAAATTAGCAAACTTCGGATGCACGAATCGAATTTTCCCCGATCGGCCGATTTTCATCCCTTCTACAGCCGGCAAAAAATGTCCCTGCAGAGAGCTCCGCTATTTCTGACAGTTCTCTGACAGTTCCTTCACATTTACAGCGGTTGAAACATTGTATCTATTTGTTTCCATTTAGGATACAGATGTTTTTATTCGGAAACAAATAGATACAATGTTTCAAACCGCTGTAAATGTGAAGGAACTGTCAGAGAACTGTCAGAAATAGCGGAGCTCTCTGCAGATACACTTTTTGCTGGAATGGAATTCTTCTTATTTTCATCCTACTTCTTCTTCTTCTTTTCTTCTCTTCTTCTTCTTCTTCTTCATCCTCATCCTAATCCTCTTCTTCTCTTCTTTTCTTCTTCATCCTCTTCTTCTTCTTCATTCATCCTCATCCTCTTCTTCTCTTCTTCTTCATCATCCTCATCCTCTCTTCTCCTTCATTCTCTTCTTCTTCCTCATCCTCTTCATCCTCTTCTTCTTCATCAACCATCATCCTCTTCTTCTTCTTCTTCTTTTCTTCTTCTTTCTTCTTCTTCATCCTCATCCTCCTCTTCTTCTTCTTCTTCTCTTCATCCTCATCCTCTTTTCTTCTCTTCTTCTTCCTCACCATCATCTTCTTCTTCTTCATCCTTCTTCTTCTCCTCTTCTTCTTCTTCATCCCCTCATCCTCATCCTCTTCTTCTTCTTCTTCTTCTTCTTCCTCATCCTCTCTCTTCTTCTTCTTCTTCTTCTTCTTTCATCCTCATCCTCTTTCTTCTTCTTCTTCTTCATCATCCTCTCTCTTCTTCTTTCATCCTCATCCTCTTCTTCTTCTTCTTCTTCCTCTTCTTCTTCTTTCTATCCTCATCCTCTTCTTCTTCTTCTCTTCTTCTTCTTCTTCCTCATCCTCATCCTCTTTTCTTCTTCTTCTTCTCATCCCTCATCCTCATCCTCTTATTCTTCTTCTTCTTCTTCATCCTCATCCTCTTCTTCTTCTTTCTCTTCTTCTTCTTCTTCTTCTTCATCCTCATCTTCTTCTTCTTCATCCTCATCCTCTCTTCTTCTCCTCTTCTTCTTCTTCTTCATCCTCATCCTCCTCTTCTTCTTCATTCTTCCTCATCTTCTTCTTCTTCTTCTCTTCTTCTTCTTCCTCATCCTCATCTTCTCTTCTTCTTCTTCTCTTCTTCATTCTCTTCTTCATCCTCATCCTCTTCTTCTTCATCCTCTTCTTCTTCTTCTTCATCCTCTTCTTCTTCTTCCTTCTCATCTTCTTATTCTTCATCCTCATCCTCATCCTCTCTTCTTCTTCACATCCTCATCTTATTCTTCTTCTTCTTCTTCTTTCATCCTAATCCCTCTTCTTCTTTTCTTCTTCTTCTTCTGCATCATCCCTCATCCTCTTCTTCTTCTTCTTCTTCATCTCCTCATCCTCTTCCTCTTCTTCATCCTCATCCCTCTTCATCCTCATCTCTTCTTCTCTCCTCTCCTCTTCTCCTCTTCTTCTTCTTCATCCTCATCCTCTTCTTCTTCTTCTTTTCCTCACCTCCTCTTCTTCTTCTTCTTCTCATCCTCATCCTCTCTTCTTCTTTCTTCTTCTTCCAACCTCATCCTCTTCTTCATCCCCTCCTCTTCTTCATCCTTCTTCTTCTTCTTCATCCTCATCTCTTCTTCTTCTTCCTCATCCTCATCCCTCTTCTTCTTCTTCTTCATCCTCATCCTCTTCTTCTTCTTCTTCTTCTTCTTCATCCTCATCTTCTTCTTCTTCTTCATCCCCATCCTCTTCTCTTCTCTTCTTCCTCATCCTCTTATTCTTATTCTTCTTCCTCATCCTCTTCTTCTCTCTTCATCCTCATCCTCACCCTCTTCTTCTCTTCATCATCCTCATCCCCTCATCCTCTTCTTCTTCTTCTCTTCATCCTCACTTCTTCTCTTCATCATCCTCATCCTCTTCTTCTTCCTCTTCTTCTTCTTCTTCATCCTCATCCTCTTCTTCTTCCTCATCCTCATCTTCTTCTTCTTCTTCATCCTCATTTCTTCTTCTTCTCATCCTCATCCTTCTTCTTCATCCCATCCTCTTCTTCTTATTCTCTATTCTTCTTCTTCTCATCCTCATCCTCTTCTTCCTTCTTCTTCATCTCATCCTCATCCTCTTCTTCTTCTTCTCCTCTCTTCTCCTGCTTCATCCTCATCCTCTTCTTCTTCTTCTTCATCCTCATCCTCTTTTTCTTCTTCTTCCTCATCCTCTTTCTTCTTCCTCTCTCCTCTTCTTCTTCTTCTTCTTCTTCATCCTCATCCTCTCCTCTTCCTTCTTCTTCTTCTTCTCATCCTCATCTTCTTCTTCTTCTTCTTCTTCATCCTCTTCTTCTTTTTCTTCTTTTTCTTCTTCTTCTTCTTCCTCATCCTTCTTCTTCTTCTTCATCTCATCCTCTTCTTCTTCTTCTTCTTCTTCTTCTTCATCATCCTCATCCTCTTCTTCTTCTTCATCATCCTCTTCTTCTTCATCCTATCCTTTCCTTTTCTTCTTCTTCATCCTCATCCTATTCTTCTTCTTCCTCATCTTCTTCTTCTTCATCCTCATCATCTTCTTCTTCTTCCTCATCCTCATCCTCTCTTCTTCTTCTTCTTCTTCTTCATCCTCATCCTCTTCTTCTTCATCCTCATCTTCTTCTTCTTCTTCTTCTTCTTCATCCTCATCCTCTTCTTTCTTCTTCTTCTTTTCTTCTTCTTCTTCCTCACCATCATCCTCTTCTTCTTCTTCATCCTCATCCTCTTCTTCATCCTTCTCTTCTTCTTCATCATCCTCATCCTCTACTTCTTACTCATCCTTCATCCTCTTCTTCTTCTTCTTCTTCATCCTCATCCTCTTCTTCTTCTTCTTCTTCTTCTTCATCCTCATCCTCTTCTTCTTCAATTGAAGCTGCTTCTGCTCCGCCACTCTGCCATTGGACTCTTGATAGTCCTCCCCACACTGCTGCTGGGGGGGTACTTTTTAACATAGGCCTCTGTATGGCCTTCAATTTAAGCTGCTTACGGCTTCGCCACTCTGCATGGGCCCCTGTACCGCCTCCTCATCTGCCAGGCCCTAATCTGTCATCCCCCATGACTCCTCATGCTGCTGCCAGGCCCGTAATCTGTCATGGGCCCCTGTACCGCCTCCTCATGCTGCTGCCAGGTCCAGAGTGTGTCATGGGTCCCTGTACGGCCTCCCATTGCTGCTGTCTCCATCGCCCACACTCTGCCATGTGCAACTTTCAGGTCTCCTCACACTGCTGGTGGGTTCCATTTTGTCATAGGGTGCTGTATGGCCTCCCATTGCTGCTGCCTCCACCGCCACACTGTGGCTCCACACTCTGGTTTTGGCCCCGTGACTGCCCAAATGAGTGAAGTGTGCGGTGATTCTAAGATCGACGGCACTCATCTGCATGTCATACTGACTGACAGTATTATTTCTCTTCCCCAGCAGACTCAAGGGCATTTAAATTAAAGGTACAGTGTTCTGCACTAATATAAAGGCTCTCTGAAGCCTAGAAACCCTTTTAATAAGTTAAATTTGCAGCGAATAAATTCGCATCGAATCGAATTTATTCCGCAAATTCGGCGAATCAGCCGAATCAAATTTTTGAATAATTCGCTCATCTCTAGTCAGGAGCTGTCAGGGAACTGACAGAAAGCACAGCTACTGCAGCTGTGCTCTCTGTCAGTGATTGCCGCTAATCGCCGGGACATAGCCGGTAACGACCGGCTGTGACCCGGCGACTGACATCCGCGCCCGTGATCGGCGGGATAGGTAGGGCGGCGGCGCGCCTCACGCGTGCCCCCTACCTGTTTTGAAAACATAGTGTCATAACATTCATGTATATGCTATTAAAAAAATTAAATATACAATTATTTATAAAGACGTGAGGAGAAAAAATGTCAAGAATATGTAACTGGTGCCCATAGTTCCAGTCTAATACGTGATTGGTCACTCTGAGCAACAACTTCACTTTTGTTCTTAAATTTTTTCAGATTTTTGATCCATTGCCTCTGTAAGATTAATTACACAAGAAGAACCCATTTGTAATTGTCTGAGAAAAAGACTTCTCTGTTCTTTCTGTGAACCTTTGTAAAGCAATAAAAGTCACCCACCTAAGATGCCCTACCGAACTATGAATTATGATACAGCTCATGTTTAGTACATAACCAGTGAATTAATTTAATGCTAATTAAAAATTATAGTGAAAGGCAAAGTGGAAGGAGAAGATACAGGTGAAAAGAAGGGAGGATGATAAGAAGAATATATAAGACAGGTGGAGAGCCAAAAGAAAATATTTAATTCTAGATAATTCTACTTATTATAACATGTACATAACTCACAGTCTGTTATCACACATCATTATCACATTCAATGTTTTTTGTCTTGTTATGTGGGCTTTAAATCCAAATACAAAGTGCACATAGTGAAAGGCAATTTAAAGTAGAACTCTATTAGTCTGTGTCAATCTATTTTTTTTATACTTCCCACTGTCTGCTATGCAGCTTTCTTACCCTATTTAAACATTCATTTATATTGTTACTAAACCCATGTCCCTGTTTTCACTATATCTGGTCTCCCACATTACACAGAACATGAAAATTTAATTATTTTAGTAAACATAAACTGCTAAATACCTATTCTCTTCAGCAGTATTTAGCATTCTTATGACTTCTGTCAGTGTCCAGCTGAGCACTGGTTAAACCTTGTAGGAGTAGTTTTCATTCTGCTCTGACTGTCCTATGAGGCTGCATAACCCCTGATCCTCTCTCTGGACAGTGCTGATTGGCCCTGTGCTAATCGCATGCATCCTCCCAAAGAAATAAAAACTCTCTAGCAATACACTCTAAACTGAGCATGCGCAGAGTGTCTCCTAGAGCTCTGTACTGTGAGCAGATGGATTGGGGATAGTAGAAGAATGCAGAGGATTAACCCCTTAGGTTCCACAGTGAGTATAACAAACATGCTTTACTGCATATACAGACTGATTTTACCGTTGTGGATTTAGTAACACTTTTATTTAAGGGTTTCTAAAAAGAGGTCACGTGATCATCCTTGTTCTCTTTGTCTTGCTCTACAGTGGCCTATAGCAAACATAATGCCTATTTGAACCAATACATGCCGCTTTTCCTAAATGTGACCAGTAGAAGACAGTTAACCAGATGCTGTTTGTGGCATGTGTTTGCATTTCAGATCACAATGCACATCATACAACATTAGTTTGAGCTACCCTTCCATACTTCTTGCTGCTTCTATATAAATACATGCTAATACTGTATAGCAAACATTATCACCTAACACAGGAAGGAAAAAATCAAGTCCATTTTACTGACTGATGCAAAAAACACTGTATTCACACCTAGAGAGGTAAGACTGGAGTTCTGCTTTTCACAAGAGTAATCATTATTTTGCATCTCAGGTCATCAAAGTATCATTTTGCATAACCCATTCCATGAAAGCTGTGAGGCTGGGAGCAATGGGCCTTGATGAATTTTAAGGTGTATTTCCAGTGATTTGTTTAAATATTAGTTTAAAAATTTTAGAATGAGGTAGGATTAAACCTTTAAATAAACCATAAAAACCCAGCGCAACCAATACTGTGTTCAAAATTAACTCCTTGTGACATAGATGTTGTTACTGTTCCCACACTTTATGTGTTCCCACACAGTGCCACAGAGTAATTCATTAAAATTATTGCAATAAGATATTCAATAAACCAGGGCTTGAAAAAGCTGCTCGCCCGCTCGCCAAATGCGAGGAGAAATTCCTCTGTGGTGAGCGGCAAGCAGCGAGCACAGATGAAGCATGGAGCGACTGCACCTGTGCTCCAAGCCTCATTGTGAAGCCGATTTCTGGTTTACAACTTCCGGTTTCCGGCTTCTTCAGCTTCGCTGAGAGGAGACACCCTCTCCACCGCTGCAGGGGACTCGGAGGGTCTAGGAGTTAGTACTGTATACAACATGTCATATCACTATAATGGAGTACAGGGGAGCTGGGATATACATTACTGTATACATGTCATATCACTATAATGGAGTACAGGGGAGCTGGGATATACACACTGTATACATGTCACATCACTATAATGGAGTACAGGGGAGCTGGGATATACACACTGTATACATGTCATATCACTATAATGGAGTACAGGGGAGCTGGGATATACACACTGTATACATGTCATATCACTATAATGGAGTACAGGGGAGCTGGGATATACATTACTGTCTACATGTCATATAACTATAATGGAGTACAGGGGAGCTGGGATATACATTACTGTATACATGTCATATCACTATAATGGAGTACAGGGGAGCTGGGATATACATTACTGTATACATGCAATATCACTATAATGGAGTACAGGGGAGCTGGGATATACATTACTGTATACATGTCATATCACTATAATGGAGTACAGGGGAGCTGGGATATACATTACTGTATACATGTCATATCACTATAATGGAGTACAGGGGAGCTGGGATATACATTTTTGTCTACATATCATATCACTATAATGGAGTACAGGGGAGCTGGGGATATACATTACTGTGTACATGTCATATCACTATAATGGAGTACAGGGGAGCTGGGATATACATTACTGTATACATGTCATATCACTATAATGGAGTACAGGGGAGGGGGGATATACATTACTGTATACATGTCATATCACTATAATGGAGTACAGGGGAGCTGGGATATACATACTGCATACATGTCATATCACTATATTGGAGTACAGGGGAGCTGGGATATACATTACTGTGTACATGTCATATCACTATAATGGAGTACAGGGGAGCTGGGATATACATTACTGTGTGCATGTCATATCACTATAATGGAGTACAGGGGAGCTGGGATATACATTACTGTATGCATGTCATATCACTATAATGGAGTACAGGGGAGGGGGGATATACATTACTGTATACATGTCATATCACTATAATGGAGTACAGGGGAGCTGGGATATATATTACTGTATACATGTCATATCACTGTAATTTACAGGGGAGCTGGGATATACATTACTGTGTACAGTTTTATATTTTGGACTCTTTATTCTAAAGAAAAATGTAATTTCATAAGCTTTAAGGGGGCGTGGTTGGGGTGGGCCAGGGGTGGGCCAGGGGTGGGCTGGGGATGGAGTTGGGGGCGGACCTGGGCAAGGTTTGGTGGGGCAACTGGTGGAGAGTAAGTTTTGTAGTAGGTGTGGACTTGAAATTTTAACCCCTGCAAACAATACTGTCCCAAATTATGTTTTGGTGGTGTATTTATCACAGTACATTTTAAATGCACATGTGAAATTGAGAGTATAATGAACACTGTATTTTTTTTTATATAATTTGGGACAGTATTGTTTATTGAATATATCATTGTGATAATTTTATTGAATTACTGTGTGGCACTGATTACTCTATTACTATACTTAGGATTAAACCTAATTTTGACTTTTTACTACTATCTGTAAATGTGTCCTCATTATCTCTCATGGTGACAATAGTGTCATCAAAAAGGAAGTGAAGGAAACTCGCAGCAATACAGTTGGAAACAAAAATATATTTTATTTAACCACTTGCCCTCCTGAAGATTTACCCCCCTAATGACCAGGCCTCTTTTTGCTACTCGGCGGCACTAATTCAACTGATAATTGCACGGTCATGCAATGCTGCTTCCAAACGAAATTTACGTCCTTTTTTTTCACACAAATAGAACTTTCTTTCGGTGGTATTTGATCACCTGTACGCTTTTTATTTTTCACACTATAAACAAAAAAAGACCAAAAATTTTGAAGAAAAACATTATTTTTTATTTTCAGCTATAAAAAATATATAGTAAACTTAAAGTTAGTTATAAATTTAGGCCAAAATGTATTCTGCTACATGTTTTTGGTAAAAAAAAATCCCAATAAGTGTATATTGATTGCTTTGTGTGAAAGTTATAGCATCTACAAACTATGGTATAGATACTGCAATTCACGCATTTTTTTGCTATACAGCGCTGCATTAGTTTAATGGACAATTGCGCGGTCATGCAATACGGTACATAAATGAAATTTACATCCTTTTTTTCCCCACAAATTGAGCTTTGTTTCGGTAGTATTTGATCGCCTGTGCATTTTTTATTTCTTGCGCTATAAAAAAAAAGGCTGACAATTTTGAGGAAAAAAAAACAATATTTTGGACTTTTTGCTATACAACATGTCCAGTAAAAAAAAATTTAAAAATCAAATTTAGTCATAAATTTCTGCCATGTCTTT